TCTTCTGGACTCAGTGATGTGTCAAGAAGATGATTGGTTGACACATCACTAGATTTATAAAGCGAGTCCAACTTTTGAGCTTGAATAACAATACTCTTATATATATATATATATTGTTAACTACCATAAACACTCAAATATCTTATTAGTGTTAAATATATATACACATAAGTTCCATCGCTTTGGTTTTCCAAGTGTGTTACATGTATAGTAGTGGAGCTAGTTTTAAAATTTTTCTAAACAATTCTTAATTTGTGAATAATATTTTGTGATTACATTGTGAATGATATTAGTGTTTCTAAAAATTGTGATTCCAAATAGAACCAAATCGTGTTTTAGTGGTTTGATCTGATTTGATTCTAAGATTTGCATGATTTGATTTAATTCCAAACTAGCATATCACCCGTACTATGCATGAGATCAAAAAATATATATTATTTATTAAAAATACGATAATTATATTTAATTTTGTTTATATATTTTGTTTCTATGAATAAAATTTTATATATAAGTTTAAAAGTTTTGTTTCAAATGTTCTTTTACCGTAGAATAGATAGATTAAAATTGTTGTATTGACAATTAATAATTAAAATTATGCTTTGTTATAAAAACAAAATGACATAGTTCTAATATTTCACTATTTTAGAATAAAAATATATTAATTTTAAAAAATTGTCATATTGGTTTTTTAAAGGGAAATAATTAAAGAAATTTTAAAAACTTATTAAGAAATAATCATCGTAACATGTAAACCCACTAAAATCACGGTTAAATCAGCAAATCATTCAAATCAAAAATGGTTTAGCTTAATCAGTTAGGTCAAAAGACCAATTAGTTTACACAAAAATTAAATAATTAAGACTTTTAAATTTTATTTTATTAAAATTTAAACTGTTACTAAATATAGAAAATAATCTATTAATTTAAAATTAAAATTGACACAATATAAATTTAAAATTATAATAATCTATCCTATAATTTATAATTTTTAAATACGAATTTAAAATTATCATAATTATCTCATAATTTTTGCATTAAATAACAATAACAGTGGCATTGAGATTATAAATATATCTATATATTTTACAAAAGAATACTTTTAAGGAGAGATATTATGAGAGTTTCAAAATCTCATACAAAATTATTTTTAAAATCAAAACCTCTATGTGAGGTTGTAAAATAAAAGTTAAATGGAAGCTAGCCAATGGAAATTTTGTTAATTGTTTAAAATTAAGAAAATCAAAAAAATTAGTATGAGATATTGATTACAAGGTTTCTTACTAAAAATCTCATTTTGCTTATATAAATGGGAGCATATGATTCACTTTATGTAAGTAAAATAATTTATTTTTCCTTCTTTTCTCGATGTTGGATTGTAAAATACAAATTAAATAAAAACTTGCCAATGAAAATTTTCTTAATTGTTTAAAATTAAGAAAATTCAATAATTTATATAAATGAGAGCCTAAGATTCACTTTATGTAAGTGAAACAATTCACTTTTTCCTTCTTTTTTTGATGTGGGATTGTAAAATAAAAGTTAAATGAAAGCTAGCCAATAGAATTTTTTTTTAATTATTTAAAATTAAGAAAATTTAATAATTTTAAAATGAGAGTTTGGAACTCCTAGAAATCTTCTCTCTAAGAACTCCCTTTTCTTTATATGATATAAGTGAAATAACTTACTTTTTGTTTCTTTTCCCCATGTAGGATTGTGTAAAATAAAAATTAACAATTGTTTGGGCAAAAATTTTATTTTAAATCAAACAATATATTTTAAATCAAAAATTTTATTCTTTAATTTATTTCGAATTAAACAAGAATCTAACTAATATATTTTGATAAAACCGCTAAAATCGCGGTTAAACTAGCGAATCAATCAAGCTGAAAACGGTTCACCTTATCAGTTAAGTCAAAGGACCAATCAACTTATACAAAAATTAATTAATTAAAAATTTTAATTTTTTTTAAATTTTAAAACTTAAACTGATTTGAACTGAAACATACACAACACTACAATATTAAATGGGAGTATAAGATTTATATAGTGAAACAACTCATTTTTTTTCCCTTTTCCTGATGTAGGATTGTAAAATAAAAGTTAACAGTTGTTTGGACGGAAATTCATTTTTAATCAAGCAATCTCAGTCATTCAATTTTTAATAAGGTCAATCTTAATTTATTTTAAATTAAACAAATCTACACAATATATTTTGATAAAACAACTAAAATCACAGTTAAACCAGTGAATCAGTCAAACCAAAAATGATTCAGCCTAATCAGCTAAGTCAAAAGACCAACCAATTTACAACAAAATTAATTAATTAAAATTTTAAAATTTAAATTATCTTGAACTGAAACATACACAATACTACAATATTAAATTAGAGCATAAGATTCACTTTATATAAGTGAAACAACTCGCTTTTTCTTTCTTTTCTCGATGTGGGATTGCAATTATTCTAAAGTTAAATATTATGAAAGTTTCAAAATCTTATTTTTAAAATCAAAACATCTATGTGGGATTAGAAAATAAAAGTTAAATGAAAGTTAGCTAATGGGGATTTTCTTAATTGTTTAAAATTAAGAAAATAAAAATAAATAAATAAAATTGATATGAGATATTAATCGTAGGGTTTCCTATTAAAAATCTCATTTTGCTTATATAAATAAAAGTATAAGATTCATTTTATGTAAGTGAGACAATTTACTTTTTCCTTCTTTTCCCTGTATGGGATTGTAAAATAAAAGTTAAATGGAAGCTAACCAATTGAGATTTTCTTAATTGTTTAAAATTAAGAAAATTCAATAATTTATATAAATGGGAGCATAAGATTCACTTTATGTAAGTGAAACAATTCACTTTTTTTTTTCTTTTTTTTTCGTGATGTGGGATTGTAAAATAAAAGGTTATTAGAAGCTAGCCAATAAAAATTTTCTTAAATGTTTAAAATTAAGAAAATTCAATAATTTTAGAATAAGAGTTTGGAGCTTTTAGAAGACTTCTCCCTCAAGATCCCCTTTATAACATTCACTTTATATAAGTGAAACAACTCATTTTTTTCTTTCTTTTCCCGACGTGAGATTGTAAAATAAAAATTAATAATTGTTTGGGCTAAAAATTTATTTTTAATTAAGCAATCTCAGTTCTTTAGTTTAATTCGAATCAAAGAAATCTAACTAATATATTTTGGTAAAACCACTAAAATCATGTTTAAACTAGCAAATCATTCACACCAAAAATAATTTAGCTTAATTAGTTAAATCGAAAGACCAACCACCTTACACAAAAATTAATTAATTAAAAATTTAAATTTTATTTTATTAAAATTTAAACTATCACTAAATATGGAAAGCAATATATAATTTAAATTTAAAATTGACACATTATAAATTTAAAATTATAATAATCTATCCCATGATTTTTAAGTTTTAAATACAAATTTTAAATTATCATAATTATCTCATAATTTTTGTAATAAGGAATAATAAGAGTGACGTTGAGATTATCAATATATCTATATATTTTACAAAAGAATACTTTTAAGGAGAGATACTATGAGAGTTTCAAAAACTCATACAAAAGTATTTTTCAAATCAAAACCTCTATGTGGGAGTGTAAAATAAAAGTTAAATGTAAGCTAGCCAATGAGAATTTTCTTAATTGTTTAAAATTAAGAAAATCAAAAAAAAAAATTAGTATGAGATATTGATTATAAAACTTCTCACTAAAAATCTCATTTTGCTTAGATAAATGAGAGTATAAGGTTAATTTTATCTGAATGAAACAATTCATTTTTTTTTCTTTTCCCGATGTGAAGTTGTAAAATAAAAGGTCAGTGGAAGCTAGCTAATGAGAATTTTTTTAATTATTTAAAATTAAGAAAATTTAATAATTTTAGAATGAGAATTAGAGTTCTTAGAAAGTTTTTTTCTAAAAATTTCATTTCCCTTATATAATATATAGATTTTATGAAACCATAAGTAATAGTTTAGGTTTGATTTACTCTTAAACTAAACCAATTGGATCAATACTCACCCTTAAGATACTTCACGGCCAATAGACAATTGCGTGTTTTTTGGTTTTTATTATTATTAATTTTAGAGATCTGATTCAAAGTCAAAATAAAATATATGAAAACAAAAAAAAAATGATAAATAAAAAGAAAAATATACTACAACATATAAGAGTTTTAGAAATTAAATTTTTTGATCTCTGAAAGTGAAAATTTTATTGCAAAAGACATCTAGAGACCAATTTCTATTGTCATGAGGATAATCGTTAAAAGGTTGTCTCAAAAAATCAAACATAAGGTTTTTAACAACAAAATTTTGAAAATGTCACTAATGAATAGACTTTTATGGACAAAATAGTTTGATCTCAAAATGATTTACTTTTTGAGACAAAAAATTTGATCCCAAAAAAAAATAATTCATCACTAATGTCTAATTTTTATTGCTAAAAATATAATAATGACACTTTTCACAACAAAAATATTTAATCCCTAAAAAATAATTTTTTCCCCTAAATTTTAGTGTATAAAACTTTTTTTTTTTTTGTAGTGATAAAAAAAAAAACATATATATACGTGGATATACGTGACATCTTTGTATATGTTCAATTTATATTAAAATATAATAATGACACTTTTCGCAACAAAAATATTTAATCTCTAAAAAATAATTTTTTTCCCTAAATTTTAGTGTATAAAACTTTAATTTTTTTTTGTAGTGATTAAAATATATATATATATATATACATGGATACGTGACATCTTTGTATATCTTCAATTTATATTTATCTACATAACAAATAAAAATATATATATTTCTTTTCATATTTCTACCAAGTAAGAATGTTCATTTTTTTTTTTTTTTTCAAAATCATTGTATTATATGACAATACCCATATCCGTGTCTATGACCGTGTACATGTTTATCTCCATATCCATTCGTCTTAGTATATAAGTGTCACAGTTTACAGTTAGTGATACCAAAAAAAAAAGATTTCTAAGTCTTTGCATGTCCTCTCTCTCTGTTTTAACGCACAAAGTTTTCTTCCCTGATTGATCCATATTCTCTCTCTACTCTCTTTCTAAAAATAGACTTATTTAAGCTAGAAAAAGCCCAAAAAGGTTATACCAATTCTCTCTCTTTCTCTCTCCCAAGCATCAAACATGTCTGATTCTTCTCCTTGGTTAAAGCTTCGATTTTTTCTACGCATCCGACGGTTCCTCCAGCTAAAGACCTCTAACAAACGATACACACCGTCCGATAGCTTTGATAAACCAAGAGTGATAGATATTGATGAAGAAGAAAAACAAGAACATGACATGGGCATGGAAAAGAGAGAGGAGGGTGATGAAGAGGAAGATGGGTTGGTGGTTTTGCAAAGGTCAGTGAAGAGACTTCATTTTGGGAGGTGGGAAGAGAAGGAAGTGGCAGCGAAGGAGATAAGGAGGTTGGCTAAAGAAGACTTGAAGATGAAGAAATCGCTGGCGGAGCTTGGGGTTGTGCCGCCGCTGGTGGCTATGGTTGGTGAGGAGGTCGGTGGTCGGAGGAGGTTGGCGGTTCAAGCCCTAATTGAACTTGCTAACGGAACTTACATGTAAGTTTAATTTGATCGTGTTTATTATATTTGTCTAGATTAATGTTAAAAATAAACGTATTTCTTATCAGATTTTTTTAAATAAAAAAAAACAAAAAATCAAATTTAATATTTGCCTCTTTAATAATGTATACAAAAATATCACCAAAAATTGGGTGAATCATGCAAACTAATTAATTATTTATTTTTTAAGATGATCATGGATTAAACTTAAAATTATTAATTTGTTTGCTTGTTTCTTGACTTACTTTGTTTGTCTAGTAAGTAAAAAATAAACATTAAAGAATTTGAAGTTTTAATATAGGTATAATAAGATCGAAATAAAGCTAGTTTAGAATTTCAATGATCTAAATTACTGAAGCACCAACCAAAACAATAATACTATTATGTATGCAAAAAAAAAAAAAAAAAAGAGTATTTAAAAAAAAAAAAAAAGAGTATTTAACTATTTAAAAAAAATAAGATGTATGAATTAGAATTAGATTTATTTTTAAATACATTTCACATTATATCAAATTTAAATTTATACTACACTCCGTCATAATTTTGAGAAAAATAGCTTAATTAAACCACAATAAATTACAAAAAATGTTACGATTTTTAAAAAATATATATTTAGAAAAAAGAATCAATAATCTACATCTATTATAATTGTGATCTATATTTACTGATTTTAAATCTACACTACAGACTTACTTTTAAAATAAAAATCAATATAAATTTTTATGGTTCACAATATTTTGATAAAGAATTAAAGGACCATTAAGTTAGTGGGTGGTGATCACATTTTCTATGATATGGCAAGATGAAGACTAACAAGCCAATACCAATGGAATCTTACCACCATGAAGTCCAATGGCCACTGTTGACTTTAGAGGATAGAGATCATAAGGAGCAATTTAGCAAACTTGTTAAAAAGCCAGTTTTTTTGTTTTTTTACTAAGGTCAAGTTTGAGAATTTATAAAAAAGTTAAAAAGTTAAAAAGTTATTTAAAAAGTTAAAAATTTAACATTATTTATCAAAAGTCAACAATTACGGCTGCACAAGTCTCAATTCTAATTTTTCCCTGCCAACAATCTCGGCTGCACAACTCCCAATTCTAATTTTCTCCTACAAATCAATTTTTATAACTTTTTATTACACATTTTTCTATAAAAAGTCAAAAAATTAACCTAAACATCCATATTTTCAACCTCAATTTTTTAGTCCAAAAAGACAAAAAGTGCACTTATTTAGGACATTTCAAACAATCCCTAAGTTTTCTCAAAAAAGTTATAAAAAAATCATTAAAAAAGTTAATTTTTTTGTCAAAAAAGTCATTAAAAAAAGTTAAAAAGCCAAAAAATTAACTTTTTATCAATTTCTCAAAACACTCAGGTTGGAAATGGTTTTGCCGAAAATGGATTGTGATCCCCTGATTCTCGGCTATGTTGTATGTCCAAAGTACCTCTTTACCCATAACTGACTTTATATATATATATATATATATATACCACAAAAAAAAGAAAAAAAAGAAAAAATTATCAATAGGTCCTACTTTGAGACTTATTACTCATTAAGTCCTATTAATAAATTTATCACTTGATAAATTTATCAGTCTCTTGTTTTTATGAATAAATTTATAGTGATAAATTTATCAGTCTCTTATTTTTATGAATAAATTTATTAATTAGGACATGTAGATAAATAAGTCTAATTAATAGGATTGATTGGTAAGTGAAAAAAAAAAAGTTAAGACAAATAAAAACAAAAATGATTTTAAAATTTTTAAAATGTCAAGAACAATAGAAAAGAAAAAAGAAAAAGAAAATATTTTTACTTGTTAAGTTTCGTTCATCCTTTTCTGTGTCACGACCAAGTCACTCTTGTTGACCTCTCTTGACCACCCACTATAAATATAAATATATATATATGAAAAATGCTTGGGAGCACTAATTAGTGCTCCCACTAATTAGGTGGCAGTGGGTCCCGCCATTAATGATGTGATGTTTTGGTCTTGGAGTTGTATTTTTTTATTTTTTTTTTTACTTTTTTAATGCATTAGTGCTATTAGTGGTGATATTTTTAGTGGGATGAATCATTGTTGTAAATATATTATATTTACCAAATATTTTAAATATAATTTTGGTTACAAAATAAAATTTTAAAATATTTTAAAAGCTGACAACAAACAGTATTTAATTTTTTTCCCAACAAATCGCGTAACAGGAGAAATAACACTTTGCCCCTCCCAGTCTTAGGACACACACATGTTTGGAGAAAATTACATCTCAATGTATTTTTTTTAAAAAAAAATTCAAATCAATTGTAAAATTTATAATATTAATAATTAAATTCATAATTTTTTTTTTTACTAATTTATAAATATTTTTCAAAAAAATTCACTGATGTGTGATTTCCTGAAAACCAATGAATTAGTATTAAAACAATTACATTTATTTAATCAACAATGATAGAGACCACTAATTTTGGAGCTCTAAAAGACTACTAATGACATGACACTCAATAAAAAAAGAAAAAAAAAATACAACACCAAGGTCAAAACATCAAATCATTTCTGGTGGGACTCACTGCCACATCATTAGTGATAACACTAATTAGTGCTCTCACTCATTTTCCTTATTTAATATGCTTTGTTTATTATCTTGTATGTTATTATTGAATTGATAATTGATCTAAGTGATAAAATTCAATAAGGAGTCTTTCGAGAGGTGGGTTATAATTCACTTTTCAGATTATAATCCACTTTTCTCTCACAAAAAATTGATTATAATTAACTTTTAACCAAAAAATTAATTATAACCATCTTCTTAAAATAGTCCTAAATATAATTTTAACATATGAGATAATAATGACAACATAACAGATAAACGTAGTGAAATATATAGATATGAGCAATGAAATTGTTTGAAAGCTAGCTAAAAAGGCTGCATATGTAAGAGCACTATAGGATAACTTAGTACCTCACATGAAGTTAAAAGTTGATTCAGAAATTCACGAGTCTACTGTGCTGTAAATTTAATTATTGTATTGTGGGTCATACATATAGATTAAATATGAATTATATATTAATTTTTTAAATAAAAATTTAAATAAATTTTTTGAGTTAAGTTTAATTTCAACAATAAATTTTTATTTGTTTAAATAAAAATAATCTATAGAAAAATGTACGAGGGAAATGATCGACAATATGGATAAAATACAAAAATGAAACTATTACACTTTTTATCCATAGTGCAACTAAACAAATATGGTCCATTATATTTTTTTTAATTTTTTGACATCAAACTCCATTTCTTAAATTTTTTAATATGTATTTTAAACAAACATGTTAACAAAAAAAAAAAAAATTAAATAACATAAATTTACTTTTAAATTTGAATATCCAACCCTTAAGCTTTTATTTTTATTATTTATATATATATATATATATGTATATTTCTTAGTGGTAGTATTAGTGTACTATTAAAATCCTACGTCTCTCCTTACTAAAATATATGTGAAAAATCTAAAGGTATAAGTTGGAGGTCCAATAGTGACCAAACTACATGGAATAATGAGGTTCCAAGGTGGTGGGCTGACTATCCCCACTACACTCCATGTGGTGATAGGAATACTACTAGTTGGGTTGTGGAATAAAAAACCAAGTGAACCAATAAACTTCTTTTATTCTAAATGATAATTGTGACAATATAGGATAATGCTATTGTGGGGTTGATTATCACTATATAAGGTATACGTAGAGAGTTTTTAGATTATAATCAAAATAATATTATGGTTAACATTATAATGAGTCAAAATTAACATTACAATATATATAACTGAGTTATAAATTAATCATAACTAACACCCTAATACATCATAATCAAATACTAACGACGATCGTAATTAGGGATATATGGTACACACTTCAAAAAAATTCACATATATTATATTGTAGTTGTTTAGATTTGATATATGTATATCTTTAAAAAAATATTGAAAACTGCATTTTGTTAGCCTTACATCTCAGAGAAATCTAGTTTCAGCAATGCTAGGTATCATGAAAAGTCTTTCATGAAAATAGTCATGAAAGATTTGTGACATTTAGATTACACTTACAATAAAGCACCACACACTAATTAAGGTAATTTAAGGATCACAAATTTTTCATAATTATTTTTATAAAAAAATTCTCATGATCCCTAACATTTCTCATCTAGTTTTAGACTATTCTTGACTCCCCTCTGGCATACTTTATTTTATTTTATTTATTTATTTTTTAATCTTTCTGTGTGGCTATTTTGGGACCACATGCTTATACTTTTTGAACCCCCAAGGTGCATTAACATAATGTAGACCCACTTTGTTGCAAGTATTCAAAGCAATGAAATAGAACTTTATTGTCTTTAGGTATACATGGAGGCCAGTTTGGTATTATTTTTTATAATTTTAAAGTTGATAAAACAAAAGCTAAAATGCATTCTCAACTTTTTGGTAATTAATTTTTCAACTTATTTGCGTTATCCTTCTCTCATAATTAGTAAGCAAAATTAACATCAAACACTCTCAAATAATTCAAAAAATAAATAAAAAGTTATAAATAGTCTCAAAATGTTACACTAAACCGAGCTCATATTTGATCAAATGCACTTTTCAAAGTCACATTTGTTATCAAAAGCTAAAAGTTAAAAACTTTTTTTGTGCTTCCATATTTATAATCCTTTTCTCTCATTTTTCAGGAACAAGGCACTAATGGTAGAGGCAGGCATATTATCAAAATTACCCGAAAACGTCGACGTTTTGGACAAATCAACAATACATGAATTGGCCCAATTGCTTCTATCCATATCATCTCTATCCAATAGCCAATTCCCTCTCACCTGCATCAAAATTCTCCCATTTCTAGTTGGCATTCTAGAGTCCAATTCAAGCATTGAAACCAAAATGTTGTGTTTGGGCACATTGTACAATTTTTCCACAATGCTGGACCATGCAGGGACCTTGGTCACAGATGGGGTGGTCCACATCCTCTTGAGAATGTCCTTGATGAAAGAAACATCTGAAAAGGCCCTTGCAACCCTAGGGAACTTGGTGGTGACATTTTTGGGGAAAAAGGCCATGGAAAACAACCCAATGGTGCCCGAAAACTTGATTGAAATCTTGACATGGGAGGACAAGCCCAAATGCCAAGAACTTTCCACATACATTTTGATGATTCTGGCCTATCAAAGCGCCGCAAAAAGAGAGAAAATGGTCAAGTCTGGGATTGTCCAAGTTCTCCTAGAAGTGGCCTTATTGGGTAGCCCTTTGGCCCAAAAAAGGGCATTGAAATTATTGCAATGGATTAAAGATGAGCAACAAGCGAAAATGGGACCTCATTCAGGGCCACAGACAGGGAGGGTAGCAAATATTGGATCACCGGTTAATCAGAGAGAGATCTACGAAGGGAGGAAGATGATGAAGAATATGGTGAAACAAAGTCTTTGTAAGAACATGGAAACGATTACTCGACGAGCCAATCCTATAGAGGATTCTTCTTCTTCTAAGCTCAAGGCATTGGTTATTAGTTCTAGTTCTAAGAGCTTGCCCTATTAGTGACTCATTTGGCATCTCAACAAATATGAAATCTTTTTGTACAAAGTTTTATTTCAACAAGTTCACATTTTCCCATAGAAAGAGAAGTGAGAAATGAACTCCTTCCACCAAAGTGCACACTTTGTGCAGCTGCTTAATTACATTGGTTGTACATTATGGAAAAATAAAGATTCTATTTTTTTTAACCCAAGGAAAATGATGAAATTTCCCTAGCTACACTGATAAAAGCTACAAGTTTTCTTCTTGTTTTGCAATTATTTTTATTTTTTACAATCAATATGAGAGGATTAGAGAAATGGTAATTTGCATCAAGTAATAAAATTAAACTTAAATTTTGACATCACATATATGTGTTGAATTAGCAAAATGATTTCGATGACCCTACAAAAATTATGTAGTTGACTTAATTGGTTTTAATAGTTAATTGGTGTTAGGATATTTCTAGGCATCTAAATTAATTTAGACCTCCCATGAGCTTAATATTAAACCAAGTTCTCTACTACTACATCAACACAATCAATAAAAGGATAGCAACAGGGTGGGTCGAGTTTGTAATCCCCCGCCCCGAATCATTTTGATGGCAGGGTAAATTGGAGAGACGATGTGATCTATAATGGATAATGAGTAATACGTGACGACAGTAAAATTAATAAAAATGTGTATTAAGTCTAATACTTTAGTATACATATAAATTTTTTTAATAAGTATAATCAAGGCATGGCCTGAAAAATTTGCATAGGGCAGGGTGGGGTAAAATTTCCATCCTTATTAATCTTACACGTCACTTCATTTTGTGTACACATTTTAGTTTTTGAGTATACTAGGAGAGATTCAAAGACACTTTTTATCTAAATTTTTGTTAGTAATTTTTATTATGTAGGTCGAATATAAGGTCTGTAATTTTTATTTTTTTAAAATTATTTGATGTAAACTAGTCTAGTGTATTTATTTATTTAAATTTTTTTCTTTTTTGGTGCAAGTGTTGTGGGTTTCATTTTTTGGAAACTAATGGAAGATTCTAACTTGTAATAGAAATCCTGGCACTGTCCTCTGCATAGCGAGCAAACAGGACCTCAACTGTATTGGCCCAATGGGCTGGCAGGAAAAGCCCACTGGCCTGTATACCAAACCAATATCTAAGAAAGGCAAATCAAAAATTTGAATTTTATTGATTGAATAAAAATTAAAAAGTTTCAGTGAAATTTTAAAATTATTCTACTAACCTTCAAATGCAACCACTACTATTATCATTACCAACGTCATCGTCATCATCACTAAACACAACAATGAACACTACGGTGCCGTTTGGTAACACTTACGTTTTCTGTTTTCTGTTTATATTTACAAAAATTTAAAAAACTCAAATAAAACCTTGTTTGGTAAAATTTTTGATTTATAAATCAGTGATCTCAGTTTATAAATTTGGCCAAAAAATGAAAACACAAAAAATGTGTTTCCATTTTTGGAGCTTTGGAAATTGGAAGTGACACTGATTTTGAGATTAGACTGTTCAGTCAGATTCTCTTTGCCTTCGTTGTAGGGTGATACTTGGGCAGACTAAACCAAATAACCTGTATTTTGGACTATTTTGGGAACTTGGCTAAATGTCACTTTTTTTGGTTAGTAGTAAAAGTTAAAAGTTGGCTTTTTTAGCTTTTTTTTCATTTGGCAAGTTGGTTTTTAGCCAACGGTGCAATTACAATTTTACCCCTCATGGGTCACAATGTGTTACATAGGTTCAGTTGTAAATATTTTAAATAAATGGGGGTAGTTTAGTCATTTTATTATGATTTGACATCATAAACAAATATTAATCAAAAAAGTCAAAAGTCACTTTTTACCAACTTCCCAAATCATTTGTCTAAAAAAACCAAAAGCTTGGTTAAAAGCCAAAAAGTCACTTTTTACTATCTTCCCAAAACAACCCTAAGTCTAATACTTGAGTATACATATAAATTTTTTTAATAAGTATAATCAAGGCATGGCCTGAAAAATTTGCATAGGGCAGGGTGGGGCAAAATTTCCATCCTTATTAATCTTACACGTCACTTCATTTTGTGTACACATTTTAGTTTTTGAGTATACTAGGAGAGATTCAAAGACGCTTTTTATCTAAATTTTTGTTAGTAATTTTTATTATGTAGGTCGAATATAAGGTCTTTAATTTTTATTTTTTTTAAATTATTTGATGTAAACTAGTCTAGTGTATTTATTTATTTATTTATTTATTTTTTTATTTTTTTATTTTTTTTTGGGTGCAAGTGTTGTGGGTTTCATTTTTTGAAAACTAATGGAAGATTCTAACTTGTAATAGAAATCCTGGCACTGTCCTCTGCATAGCGAGCAAACAGGACCTCAACTTCATTGGCCCAATGGGCTGGCAGGAAAAGCCCACTGGCCTGTATACCAAACCAATATCTAAGAAAGACAAATCAAAAATTAAAAAAGTTTCAGGGAAATTTTAAAATTAATCTACTAACCTTTAAATGCAACCACTACTATCATCATCATCATCATCATCGTCATCATCACTAAACAAAACAATGAACACACACTTTTCATTTTTTATATTAAATTTCTTACGACTTTAAATATAAAATTCAAATAAAGAAGACCTAATATTATTACAAAATTTTAATTTGTTGTAAAAATCATGAAATTAATTTTAAACATTTCAGAATATATGTTTATCGTATACATATAGATTTAAAAAAAAATTAATTCCATTAATTAGATAAAAATGTTAAAAGTTTTGAAATTTCACAACTAAATAGAACAATTGTTTCACTAACGTCCAATACAATGTTGCTACTACTATCACCATGACCACCATCACTAACAACCCTCCAATAAAATTGGTCACGTGTCAATCTATGATCACGAAAGTGGAGGATATGACGGGATCTAGGTGGGGAGAGATCAGAAGATAGAAGATGGCTTTCAAGACTACGTAACTAGTTGATGTGATAAACAAGCCATTACAAAAAAAATTAACATTTTAGTGAAAAAAATTTAGGGACAAAATCACTTTTTAAGGACACAATATTTTTATCTCAAAAAGTGCTATTATTTTATTTTAAGAACAAAATTGGATATTTAATGATGAATTACTAAACTTTTGGGACCAAAAGTTGTCTAAAAAAATAAACATTTTTGGTTCCAAGTTATTTTGTTCCTAAAAGTACATCTATTAACGACATTTTCAAAATATTTTCGAAACGACCTTTTAATTACTATCCTCATGACGATTGAAATTACTCCTTAAATATTTTTTGCAACAAAAATCATTCTTTAAGAGACAAAAGAACTTGATCGGTAAGACTCTTAGATATTGTAATGAGCTATTATCCAATAGATTCAAATTCAAATAAATGAGCTAAGTAACAAGTGCAATTGGAAGTAGGGGTAGACATCGGCCTATTGGCCCGCCTAGCCCATCCAGTCCAATCCTATTTTTTTAGGGTTTGGGGAGATTGTTTTAGCCCATAAGGCAAGCTGTGTTAACATTTTTAGCTCGATATATTAATGGGCTAGACTTGAGATTTATACTTTCAACCCAGCTTGACCCACTATTAAATTGATTAATTAATTATAATATATTAATATATATATTTTTTGTCAGGATCTATACTTTATCTTTGTTAATTTTATTATAACTCACATTTGTAGTGATGGGTGATAGAATTTATTTAAAAAATCTTTCAATTTATATACAAAATTCTTCAATTTATAATGATGTCAGTATATTTATTTAAGAAATATAATGTGTGATTGAATTTAATTACGGAATTATTTATTTATTTTTTTAACATATAGCCTGATGGTGGATTTAGGATTTGTAATTATTTTTTAGATTGAACTTGGGTAAATGTAGAGGTCCGACATTAGGGCCTGGCCAGACTTGAACAAACACAAAGTTTCTTATTACGTAGTGTCGGCTTGACCCGACGAATGTCCACCCCTAACTAGAAGTGGAGATTATTAGAAGCACTTCGACAATTACCATGCACACCAAAGATCCTATAAATAATCAGGTCATGTTTGTTTGGCTCCATAAGATGGAAGGGATTAAGAATACGGTGAGATTGAGTGAAGAGATTATTAGTGTAATGATATTAGGTTGGGGCTATAGGATAAAGGGTGTTTAGTTATACACCACCGGATTGGTAATAGTATTACTATATAAAATAATATTTTTTTAAATTTTTAGAATTTTTTAAATACTATAATTATTATTTTTTGTTCTAAAAAAATATATATTTTGATTAAAAATTATTTTAAAACTTACTAATCCCCTCACTCAATTTCGAATCTCAACCTCATCATGGGATTGGTAATCCTACTAATGAAGGGCTTATTAGTCTAAGGGGATATTTAATTCTTTCACTCATGTCCCCAACTAAACACTTTATAGGTGGCTTCACAGACTATTAGTCTAATTTCTCCTTTTAAAGAGCCAAACAAATATGACGTTAGTATTAATGAGAGAAGACCCTAGACAAATTTACAAATTCCAACATTTTACTTGCTTCCTTTCACTAGTCTAGTACTTTCATTTTCTAGGAGTTATTAAAATAGAAATTCATTTCCGTGTAGTTGCATTTACTTTCATTTGGAAGCCATAGGAGTAGCGAGATAATGTATTATTTCTGTAATTGTATTATTTTTATTTAGTTATTCAATGAACATATTTTCTTCTACCGTCTTTCTTTGTTTCTTTATTTACCTTCATTAATTGTCATTCTTGTAAAGTTAGTTCTTAGAGCATCTGCATCAATCTCAGAAAATTTTGAGTCAAATTATATGTAACGACCCAATCTTGGCAAGGCCTCGCTAAGAGGGTGCACCTCAAACGCTATAGCACCTTTACACCACAATTCTTGTACAATCCTTACATCACATCACCACATCACCAAAAGTGCATAAGACCTTTCAATTGCCCAACATGTATGAGATGATCTATTCAAAGACAAAAAGTATTATCATGCTATAAGATAGTTCCCAAGCATTTCCTCCCCAAAAATAATACATACTATTCACGAATCCATCAATACATCCAACTTCATGAGCAATTATTTACAATCAACCCCCTTCATTAAAAAAAAAAAAAGAAAGTAAACTTACATCCTAGAATGACCCTAAGCAAAACCTAAACTACAAGATGCCCACCTTTGATCCTTCAAAAAAAATTCTAGTCTTCCAAGTTGAGGCAAGCCACACAAAAGTCTATGAATCTGAAAAAAAAAATTATTTAAAAAGAATGAGCTCAATGAGTATACCAATACCATAGAGTTATAAAACTTGCTCCTTCCAATTGGGTTCAAAATAAAGATAATAAACACAAGAGCTTAATTGGACTGAAATTCAACTTTTCAATACATTAAGATCTCATGTCCATCATACGAACCACTACATAGCCTTAGGGTCGCGTTACCTCGCGACTTAGGTGGTGACGATACCGTTACCCAAAACACAACCATAGGAACATAACTCATGTCATCGTAGCACTTCAATTCTTGTTTCAATGTTTCGGTCCCCAGGACCCCTTATACATACAACGACCCTTATGGTCCTTAAAACATTTCAATCCCTAGGACCCCAAAGCATTTTGGCCCTTGTGCCCCCGAAGGCTATATTCGGTTGTATGATCAATAAAATAAATACCCTCAAATAGCGTTTCATTGTCATTCAATCATCATCATCATAAAATTTGAAGGGCTCAAGTTAAATAAATTCTCATAAAAATTAGTGCTTCATTATACAAATGAAATCATATATTTATTTAAACTCAACCATTGGCCTCAATAGATTTATAGATTTTTCTTTTTATACATATATCATGATCAAATGTATCATTCGCTTCCTTTAATTCAAAATTGTCTTCAAACTTTGTAATAAAGATAGAGGTAAGGTAATTTCCATGGTAAGTATACTCACCTCCAAAAATAGCAAAAGCGTAGATTGAGACTCTACAAATTAATTCCCAAGAGGTGTAGAGACGCCTTCCTCCAATCCTAACAATTAATAAATAGGACCTAAAATTAGGAAAAAGTTTTCAATGAAAATTACAACATCTACAAAATGATCCTAAATAAATTATGCTAAGGAATGACAAGCTAAAGAACTCCTCCAACTTCAAGTCACCCAAACAAATAACTTATCCAATCTCCACAACACCCATCCTTTGCACATCTTTGAGTTAGTAACTTTTTAAATATCCAATCAATTTATATGCACAATACCACCATCAATTAACTACAAAAGTCAAAAATGAACATTTTTTATAAACTCAACAACTTAAGTAAAATCTCTTCAATCATTTATAAAATTCCTCCATAGAACATAGAGATACCCAATCCACCATTTATCAAATCAATTTCAACATATAAATTTTCTAACACCAAAATCCCCAATTTTTACATCACATTCAAACCCTAGATTAACCCAAAATCTTAATCTCCAAAACAACCATCAAATTGATCGTTTTTCAACATGTAAAACATTCATAGAAACTAATTGAGAGTATAAAATTCAACAATCAAACCCCAAATCATAATGGATCTAAAATACAAAAAATTTCATCATCTCTAACTCAAAATATGTAAAACTTTAAACTAAACTTTTAGAGAAAGATTCTTACCAATTACAAGCCTCTAATCCATCAAAAAGATAAACCCCATGCCTTGATTCTTCAAAAGATTAAGAAAAGTCTAGAGTTGGTGCTTCGATTGTGCTATTTTCGAATGGATTTAAGGAGTGGCCGACCGGACCCTTTTTCCGGCAAGATAAGGTGGCCGGCAGTGGTAGAAACTAATTGAGAGTATAAAATTCAACAATCAAACCCCAAATCATAATAGATCTAAAAATACAAAAAATTTCATCATCTCTAACTCAAAATATGTAAAACTTTAAACTAAACTTTTACAGAAAGATTCTTACCAATTACAAGCCTCTAATCCATCAAAAAAATAAACCCCATGCCTTGATTCTTCAAAAGATTAAGAAAAGTCTAGAGTTGGTGCTTCGATTGTGCTATTTTCGGATGGATTTAAGGAGTGGCCGACCGGACCCTTTTTCCGGCAAGATAAGGTGGCCGGCAGTGGTGGAGATGGTGGGTTAAGGTGGTGGTGTAAGGGTGGAGCAAGGGTGTGGTGTTTGGCCACCAAGAAGGTGAAGGAAAAAAATGAGAGAGAATGTAGAGAGAAGTTAGATAAGGATGAATGAAGACAATGAAGAAGAAAAAAAAATCTTCACTTCTTTTTTTTTTTTTTTTTTTCTTCTATTTTTTTTTTTTGTGTTGAAATGGGGTGTTTGGTCACACCTACTATGGCCCTGTTTGGTAGAATTGTGAGAAAGTGCTTATAGCTTATGCCTCAACAGCTTATAGCTTATAACTTTCAGGTTAAGCTGATTTCCAGCTTATTCTTAAAGCATCTCCTGCCCCACTCAAAGAATAAGCTGATTTCTGACTTCCAAAAAGTTATAAGCTATAAGCTATAAGCTAAACTAAACACATCAAAATAGCTTAAATTAAGCTGAAAGCTGAAATAAGCTGTAATTAAGCTCTGCCAAACCGGCACTATCAAGTTTGGAGTTGGGTTTAGATATCCTAAATGGAGTTTAACATAGGAGTGTGTTTGGCTCTAGATGAAATGTCGGGAATATTATAATTCTACCCCCCTAAAGGAAAATTTCATGACGAAATTTATTTATTTATTTAGTCTAGTTCATACCTTGAAAAAGATGTGGATATCGAATTTTCATATCATCCTCCCGCTCCCAAGTAGCTTCCTCCAAAGCATGATTTTTCCACAATACCTTTACTAGTGGTATAGTCTTGGAACGTAGTACTTGATCCTTCATGTCCACAATCTCTATGGCTTCCTCCTTATAAGACAAATCATCCTTGAGTTGGATTGGTTGGAAATCTAACACGTGCGATGCGTCAGGCATGTACTTCTTCAACATGGATACATGAAACACATTGTGAATGCGAGATAGACTAGGTGGTAAGGCCAAACGATAAGCAGTCTTGCCAATGCGCTCTAGTATCTTAAATGGCCCAATATACCTTGGACATAGTTTGCCTTTCTTACCAAATCGCATCACTCCCTTCCATGGCGAGATTCGTAAAAATACATGACCTCCCACTTGAAATTCCAAATCCCTCCTCCGATTATCTACATAGCTCTTTTGTCTACTTTGAGCCGCCTTCAACCTTTCTCGAATAATATGCACTTTATCGGTAGTAATTTGAACAATCTCTGGCCCTAACAGTTTTCTCTCTCCAACCTCATCCCAACATACTGGAGTTCTACATCTTCGCCCATATAAAACTTCATAGGGAGCCATTCTAATACTTGATTGATAACTATTATTATATGCAAATTCTATTAAGGTCTAGTGTTCATCCCAACTACCTCGAAAATCTAGGACACAAGCTCTCAACATGTCTTCTAAAGTTTGAATTGTCCTCTCGGATTGCCCGTCGGTTTGGGGGTGAAAAGCTGTACTGAATCTCAATTTAGTATCCAAGGCATTTTGAAGACTAGGCCAAAAGTGGGATGTGAGGTGCGAGTCTCTATCTGAAACAATAGATACCGGCACACCATGCAATCTCACAATTTCATTCACATAAATTTTTGCTAATCGATCAAGTGAAAAGTTTTTCTTAGTAGCCAAAAAGTGTGCAGATTTGGTCAACCTATCTATAACAACCCAAATAGAGTCATGCCCCTTCTGTGTGCGAGGCAGGCCCGAAACAAAATCCATGGCAATATGCTCCCATTTCCATTCAGGTATAGGAAGAGGTTGAAGTAAACCAGCTGGGCGTTGATGCTCTGTTTTAATCTGCTGACATACCAAACACCTTGACACAAATTCTGCTATCTCTCTCTTCATATTTGGCCACCAATAACTTTCTCTTAAATTTCGATACATCTTTGTACTCCCCGGATGCATTGCATAAGGTGAATTATGGGCCTCATCTAATATCTCCCTTTTTATCTCGGGCTCATTTGGAACACATAACCGATTTTTAAACATCAACACACCATCTTCTTTAATAATAAAGTCTAACAGAGTACCATCTTTCACTCGAGCTCGGGTCTTCTCCAAAATTGAGTCTTTCCCTTGGGCTTCTCGAATGCGATCCACTAACAAAGGTCTCACTTTAATTGTAGCTAACAAGGATCCCGACTTCCCAACTGCTAGATCAACTCCAATAGATTTTATTTCATGTAAGAGACTAAATTGAATGCCCTGAATGTGAGTTAATTTCCCTGTAGATTTTCGGCTAAGAGCATCGGCCACCAAATTAGCTTTTCCTGGGTGATAATTAATGGTGCAGTCATAGTCCTTAATCAGTTCAACCCATCTCCTTTGCCTCAAATTTAAATCCCTCTGTGTGAATAAATATTTCAAACTCTTATGATCAGTATATATCTCACATTTTTCCCCGTATAAATAATGTCTCCACAACTTTAAAGCAAAAACAACCGCTGCGAGCTCTAAATCATGGGTGGGATAATTGCGTTCATGGTTCTTCAATTGTCTAGATGCATAGGCCACTACCTTTCCATGTTGCATCAACACACAACCGAGCCCTTGATGAGAGGCATCACTATAAACAATAAATCCTTCACCACTTAACGGAATAGTAAGCACTGGGGCAGAAGTTAATCGCTTCTTTAATTCTTGAAAACTCTTTTCACAATTCTCCGTCCACTCAAATTTGGTATTCTTACGGGTCAAATGTGTTAATGGTGCCGCAATCAATGAAAACCCCTCTACAAATCTACGGTAGTAGCCTGCCAACCCTAAAAAGCTCCTCACCTCGGTCACGTTAGTAGGACGATCCCAATTCACCACAGCCTCTATTTTCTTCGGATCCACAAAAATACCTTCACCCGAAATCATATGCCCCAAAAATACGACACGATCTAACCAAAACTCACATTTGCTAAACTTCGCATACAACTTCTTTTCTCGTAAGGTCTGCAATACCACCCGCAAGTGTTGTTGATGATCCTTTTGACTCCTGGAATAAACAAGTATGTCATCAATAAATACAATCACAAATTGGTCAAGGTATGGTTGGAACACTCTATTCATAAGGTCCATAAATGCGGCGGGGGCATTAGTTAGACCAAAAGACATAACAAGAAATTCATAATGGCCGTAGCGAGTTCGAAAAGCAGTTTTCGCTATGTCTTCTTCCTTAATCTTAAGTTGGTGATACCCTGATCTGAGATCGATTTTGGAGAACACACATGCTCCCTGAAGTTGATCAAACAAATCATCTATACGCGGCAAAGGATACTTATTACGCACCGTGACCTTATTCAACTGCCGATAGTCAATGCACAATCTCATGGTGCCATCTTTTTTCTTCACAAATAACACAGGTGATCCCCAAGGCGAGACACTTGGCCTAATGAAGCCTTTATCCAATAACTCTTGCAATTGTATCTTAAGCTCCTTAAGTTCCATTGGGGCCATACGGTAAGGTGCACTAGAAATTGGGGCAGTTCCAGGAATTAAGTCAATAGCAAACTCAATTTCTCGATCTGGGGTAATCCAGGTAGTTCATCAGGAAAAACATCTATGAAGTCACACGCAATTGGTATATCCTCCAATCTTGGACCACTCAATTCGGAGTCAATCACATAGGCTAAGTATCCTTGGCACCCCTTCTTAAGCATTTTTCTAGCGGTAATAGCAGAAATAACATAAGATGGGGACGCACATCGATCTCCACAAAATCTAAATTCAGGTTCCCCAAAATTGGAAAATACTACCTCTTTCCTATAACAATCCACCGAAGCATGGTAAGAAGCCAACCAATCCATTCCCAAAATCAAATCAAAATCAAGCATCTCTAAAGGCAATAAATCCGCTACCATCTCCCTATCTCCCAACTGTAATACACAACCTCGATATACCTCCTCAATTATAACACAATCCCCAATAGGAGTAGTAATGGATAAGCAATAGCCTAGAGGTTCAATAGGTTTATCAGCATGCAAAGAAAATGATAGAGATACAAAAGAATGTGTAGAACCCGGATCAATAAGTACATGTGCCTCCCTACTGAACACATAAATAATACCTGTTACCACCTCCGGATTAGCCTGAGCATCCCGCTGAGTCAAAGCAAAAACTCTCCCCTGCGAGGTTTGTCTATCGGATTGAACACCTCCTTTATTCTGCTTGCCAAACCTAGTCCCAACCTGACCTCCTCCTCGGCTTCCCCCTCGGCCGGCACCTGAAATTTTATTACTACCAACTCCAGTACTAGCAGATGAAGCAGTTCGTGTGCAATCTCTAGCCAAATGTCCGGGTTGTCCGCAATTGAAGCAAGCTCGTGTATCTCCCAAATTAGTCATTTTAGGAACTGTGCAATCTTTCACCAAATGACCCTTCTGGCCACAACGAAAACACAAGTCGGTACCAGCATGACAAACACCTGTATGTGCCCGCCCACATTGCTTGCAAACACTTCGAGTAAACTGAGATGATGTCCCACTAGACTGTCCATGACGCTGATTAGAAATGCTTTGGGTTGGGGTGGGATGCTCTCTATTTTTTTGATATGCACTAGAGCTCTTGACTGAACCATAACCATGACCACCTCTTTTTGACGGTCTATTAAATGTGTTCTCATGATGGGATGAACTAAGGTGGCGCTTCTTCTGTTGTTCCGCTAACTTCATTTCTATGACATCTTCCTCAACTGTTAAGGCTTTATCAACCAAGGTTGAATAGTTAGTTATTCCCAATACTCGGATACGAGATTTGATGTCCAAATCCAACCCATCTGTAAAACGACGACATTTGACCTCCTCATCATCCACAAACGAAGGGGCAAAACGAGATAAAGAAATGAACTTAGCTTCATATTGAGCTACAGTCAAATCCCTTTGCTCTAGCCGAAGGAACTCTTTTTCTTTTTCATACCGATAGGTAGCTGGAAAGTACTTGTCATTGAAAACCTTAGTGAATTGGTTCCAGGTCAATCCTTCGGTGCCACCTGCCGCAAGTAGGCGTTGCGTGGCCTCCCACCAATATTCAGCCTCCTCCACCAGCATAAAACTAGCAAGCGCAACTCGCTGCTTGATTGATATTTCCATCACAGAAAATATCTGCTCGACCCTCCTTAACCAGGCCTCTGCCTCCATAGGATTGGGCGATCCAGAAAATGATGGAGCCCCCAACTTCTTGAACCTCTCAATTGCGGTGAGG